GTTACAATGTATATACAATTTACTGGCGTATATAAAGAATTAAATTACAACAATATCTACATAAATGCCAGTGGAAGCAACTGAAGTTCATGTAACCTTCTGAGAACAGCTCCTCTTTATTTTCAATTAAGCACCCTAACACTAGTAACAGCTTTTATTACAGGTACATCATGATGTATACCCGTCATCAAAATATAACACGATAAATACGTCTATGTTACATGTAATTCCTTCCTCATTTGAATAGGTTCAACATGTAGGGCGACGTTTTCTCATCCAGACGATCGAGTTAGGTGCCTTTTTGGCATTTCATCCTGGAAAATTACAATCCGAGAAAGAGACAAGCCTAGATTGTCAAGAGAGCGTGATGGTGAATTCACGAAGGGCACAGCATAATCAGGATGTACATGTGTACGGCTGATTGTCTAGGCCGTACTGAGTTCCTTTTACGTTTACAGGGCATATTGTATGCAAAAATAATGTGGAAGGAGTATAGAATTTACTATACTAGGCATGTGGATATATATGTTAACATCGTTATACATGCACATGTAATCATTTTGAGGCCATCACTGCTCAAAGAATAAAATTGACACAGCAATTGAGAGCAAAAGCAGCTCTGGCAGCAGTTCTTGCAGCACACTTAAACATACATTGTACATTTGCTGATGGATAATTATGCTCAAATATAAATCAAGTCAAATATACTAGACGCTTGATCCACTCCCCGACAGTAATAAGGTGTGACAACATAAGTTGACAAAAACTAGACATGGTTCTTATTTTCATTTCGTGTAAGTACTTTAAGCCCATTCCAGTAATGTAATAAGGTATGAAAACATTAGTTGACAAAAACCAGACACGGTTCTTATTTTCATTTCGCGTAAGTCGTTTAATAAGCCTTCTCCAGACACTGCACTGTAGATGCCAGATAAACACTGCGCTGGGTTCCAGTTGTCCTAAACTTTAAAACCAACTACTGGGTACAGCTAGGCCTACTAGTACTCTTCGTTTCGTGCCCCACCATCCACCGTAGAGAAACAAGATTAGAATACTTTCAGTTGGAACGGAACTCGGGGTACAGCGTATAGAATGAGAAAACAAATAATATTTAGTCAATCCTAAAGTGATCATTTCCTGGAAGCTCAAACATAAACGATGTTCGATATCACCTCTTGAATTACGTTCTCGTGAAACCCATCGCCCCGTGCAAATTTCGTCTTTTACAAAGATCGATTCCCTTGTTAGACGCTCAGCTCTGAAAACCTTGGCAGCATTCTGGCAGAACCTTCCATCGAACTTTTACATTTCATGTCTTACATTTGGCCCCGTTCTTATCTCGTGTTCAATCATATCCGACCCCGTAAAACTATATTAAGAAACTACTAGACCTAAACGTGAAACGATTATCTCTTGGGCTTTGTCCATTTCCATGTAGAGTCAATCGCTAACACTACATGCCTTTCGTCTTACCAACCTTCGACAACTCTATTATTGGCTAATTAGTTTTAAATCCAGCGTGGATTGAGAAATAAATGATTACACTGATCATATTATAAAACCTATAGCTCTTACATACTAGTAGATTGGCGGACGCACAGTATTTGAGTCAACATACTTTATCATTTTAAAGCTCAGGGTGATTTGAAAACGTTCCTTCATGGCAGTACTAGGAAAGTACTATCCAACAGAGAGATATAACGGGTATTATCTAATTAGCACCAAGCGCAGCGTGGTTTGAGAATGTCAATAGTTTAATTATCTTCCAAAGTCATAACCCCAATGGTATATTGTTTCCGCTTTGCGCTGGTGTTTATTCCTTACAACGTGTCAATCATTTTACTCGTTTTTGCTACTTTTATTGCAGTGCCCATGAAAAACTTTTATTCCTGTCGAAATGATTTTTCTCATTTTTCTTTCTACTTTATGTACAACACTACAAGCATCGTTTACACAGATCAATAACTTATTTCTGTATTTCCACCCTTTTCTATATTGACAACCTTAAAAACACAATAGAATGCTGCTTGGGCACTAGTATCTCATAAAACCACTGTAACCTCTGATATGCTGTCACTCTCACCCCATGTATATGTGGCTTGATGCAAAGGGGGGGGCAGCACGAATTAGAGCCATTACGTCTATATATATATATATATGTACATGCAAGTCCTGAAGTTTTTTTGTGGAGATTTAATGAAACTACAACATATTCGATCAAATAAAACTTTTTTTTGCAGAAACGATATTGCCGCACAGGCTAGATATTGTGAAACAAAATTGGAAATCCATGCAAGTATGAATAGACCACGCAGCATCAAATAATTTGACATCAAAGTAACTCAGAAATTGCTGCATAATTTCCACGTAATCAGAAAAGATAGGCGACACGGGTGAAAACATTACACCTGTAGTGTGCCTTAATAATAGAAATCAAGGCTATTGTATTTCGATCGTTTTCGCATTCAGTTCTGCTGTTTTCTGTGAAGTGGACGTGAAAGCGTTTCTCTGTTTTCGTAGATCGATCTTGTGCCATTGTGCACTTTAGGGTCGAATTCACTTTATGGCAAAGCAGTTCCACTGGAAATCAATCTAAGGTGAAAAATACGTTTTGGGTGAAGTGCTTATTGCAATCATGCTGTCGAAAAAACAAACTTTCAACGCCATTAACGTATAGCATTTTGTCAAGGCAAAAAGAAACTCTGCGCCGCAGAACCGATCTTAACACGCCAAATGTGAACGGGCCCAGATCTGTATTTTATATCACGGCCAACAAATTGCTTTCCCGTGGCGGAAGCATTATTCTTGGTAATATTTCAACGATACAAATCTCCGGGTAATTGATACTCCATGTAACAATAAAAGACGTGTATTGTTCCCAGTGTTTAAATATTCGGGTAACATGAATAGCAAGTGTATACATCGGGTATTGTCTTGGTGACAAGTAGTGACGCCTTTTAACAATAAATTACGGATATACTCTCCGTTATTTAGATATTCTGTGGGCTTCAACAGAAATTAAAACCGTCTAGTATCATCGTTTATTATGGAAGGTTACTTTGAGAAAAAAGGGATTAACGTCCAAAAATTTAGAAATGCCATAGAAACAAAAAAAATATAAGTATGTAGCAATCGAACGATTTTCTGTTTGTAAGGTCTAATATGGAAGTTGTTTGGTATTTTGATTGAAGAAATTTTGCTTCTGATATTGTTCAACACCGCTTAGTTTTTAGCACTGTGCTATAACTTTACATGAGCGTAATGAAATATAAAACTCGTATTTGGGTAGTATCGGTTATACATTACTGTTGGAAAGTGTCACTACAATGCACTACCCAATTTGCTTTATTTTAACTATCTGTATTTGATAATTCCTTTTGTTTTTTCGTAACCACTTGGCTGTTAATAGATACTGTTAACATTATGTTTGGTCTCCTCTTGAACGGTAACTGCCCTTATAGCCATCCGGTAGTGCCACCTAGTGTATAAAATTGATTACCTTTCATCGACATTTATTGATGGTCAGCTGCACCTAATGCGATTTCTGATAGAAATAGGCCTAATAACCGATTCATTTCAGGGAAATTAAATATAAAAGCGCTTAAGCTTACTACTAGACGTTATCAATCACCACTGGCTGAAACACAGCTTTTTAAGCGCCGCGACAGGAAAAATACTGTGCAACCTGAAGATATTTTGTACCAGTAGATTATCTAGAAACCATTAAGTGGCTAATTACCATGGTCAGATGAGGACAAATAAGGCGAAGCGTCATTTCTTTCTGTACAAATAAGGTTAATCTCACCTGAAAGCCAAAGAGGCAATGTCAGATTAAAATGTTTTCAAGAGAGTAAGTACTTTGAAAAGGAATGGAATGCAAATGAATAAACGAATAAAAGATTTTTCGTCGCGCCTAATATTTTTGATCGATTTTAACCAATTCATTGTTTACCCTTTAGCTCTGGTTTCCCATGGATAATCTGAACATAAAGAGGTCATTCCTACTGAAATATCAGACGTCTTACTGTGACATAGGTACATCAGACGTCTAACTTTGTCATATTTAATAGATCAATCGTTCAAAAATGATTGGCGTTTTACATTAACTAAGACTCTCAGTTTCGTTAAATTAACTGAAAACGACTGAGGGACATGGCTGCCAGGCAGTCTGTCACTGTCATGGAGGGGCTAATTGCTTTCTGTTATGGGAGAGAATAATCGACTAAGTAACGACGTGACGAGGGGAAATAATCCAAATCCTTATCAGGTCACGTATATATCGAGACAACATCTCTAAGAAGTTTAAATTAAAGTAAAATGAGTGACTTTGATAAGTCAAAACAATGCCCCTTAGCAGAGCGCCAAATTGATGTCAAAAACACTTGACGTAAATTAGGTGTAAGATTTGGAAAACTAGATCAAGAAGGCTCATAATGGTGAAGCTGGCAAAAAGGGCTAAGAAAATGATTTTGAAGAGATGCGTATTAAGATGTTGTCTCAAATCTTTCCTGAACGCGACGGCAAGTGAGGCAAGTTCGTTTATATTCCGTTCTCTCTGTTTCATGTACGAGTTTGCGTTTTCAGCTTTTGATCATTTGACTCTTTGGTTGGCGCTTCACTGCCAAACAGAATGGGAAATAATGAAGCTTCCGATTTATCACCACTTGTGTTGTGTGAATCTGGAGAGCATTCCAAATTAAAGCTGCAATACCAAAATTCATATTGATCATATAAGACTTTTTATGCTATTCCGTTAAACATCGATTATCCCTCACATCCTAAGCCAGTAGGCTGCGGCCAGGGAAGGGTGGAGTTGGTTAAGTTTTTTCTTTTCAACTTTATAAAGTCCTGCTATATACCCCAAGCATATTTCTCGGACTACGACCCTGTTACACGATACCAACGTCTCTAACATCCAAATACAACATAAATTTATATTTTACTACATTCCCAAGAAACATATTAACATGTATTCAAAACAGTCATTCATATCTTTACAGATATCTGAACCAAGCAAAGAAGAAAATGTCCAAGCACCTGACGAAAAGGACGCAACCGAAATCAATAAAGCTGACGTAGAAAAACGCAACATTGGGCGCTTATTGAACAAATGGCGCGGGAAGAAACGAGAAGATGAAGGCAATGATCACAGGGATATGGAACTCCATAGAGAGGATCACAGGGAATCCGAACAAGAAGACGACAAACGAAACGTTGGTAGATTGTTGAACAGGTGGAAGGGGTACAAAAGAGATGACGCTGACAGAAACACGGAAGAGGAGGAGGTTGGTGAAAAACGCGGAATAGGAGCACTGATGAATAAATGGAGAGGGGGTGGAAAGAGAAGCGAACACGCCCACGATAGCGGAGAAGACGCTATCGAACAAAAAAGAAATATTGGAGCTCTGATCAACAGGTAATTGTAATGGCCAACGTCCATTCATGAAAATATCTAGATTATTTAAATGTGTTACAATGTTTTTGAGAAACCACTAAGACTACAATTACATGAAAATGTTCACGTTATCATCTCATTTGTGCTCATTAGCAATATAAAAAATTGTCGGTATAGCATTAGAAGCTGATTTTTCTGTCACTAGCGTTCCCAGAAGGCTGATACATGGCAGTAAAGAGAAACTGAATATCATTTATTTTTTGTTCTCTCTATAATGTGGATTTTCCTTATAGTTTATAACTTTCTCAAATACTACTTTGATTAAAATATTATCTCTTCTTTTACATGTATATCAGATGGTATCAGACGCACCACGAACTACCACCGGCACATAAAAAGCACGCAATAGGCGCCCTTCTTAACAAGTGGAGAGGAAAGAAAAGCGACCATGCAGACGATCTCGTGGACGACAAGCGCCATATTGGAGCGCTTCTACAAAAATGGCGCGGAACAAACTCCAAAAAGGAAGACTATGCTGATGCGAACGTTCCTATTTCACTTGATGGGGAAAACGACCAGTCCCTGTACGAAGAAATGGACAAGAAGAACATAGGAAGGCTGATAAACAGATGGAGGGGCGGAGGTAAACGCGACTATGACGATGCTGGAGAACTGGCTGATTCCATGAACAAGAAAAACATCGGTAGACTTATCAATAGATGGCGTGGTCACAAGCGCGAGGATGAAGCTGACAGTGCGCATGAAAATGGCGATGATGTGGAAAAGAAGAATATTGGCCGGTTGATAAATCGATGGAGGGGAAGCGGAAAACGCGACGAAGATGAAGCAGACGACGCTGATGTCATTGGCGCGTCAGTAGATAAGAAAAATATAGGTCGCCTGATTAACAGGTGGAGGGGAGGGGGCAAGCGCGACGAAAATGACGCAGTCTACACCGACGCGGTTGACGGGTCTGTAGAAAAGAAGAACATCGGCAGGTTAATCAACCGGTGGAGAGGCGGTCACAAACGTGAGGATGACGTTTACGGAGACAAGAAAAGCATCGGCCATGTGATTAACCACTGGCGAGGATACCCAGAATATGTACCTGCAGTTGCCTACCAGAACACGGCGGGCGTTGATAAAAAGAACATCGGTCGGCTTATAAACAGGTGGAAAGGGTACAGCTCTGGCAAGAGAACAATAGCCGATCAAAATGAAACAAGCGATAAAGCCCAGCAAATGAAAGCTGCGAAAACGAGACGGAAACGCGACTTGGAGGACTACTACCAGTACCAAGATTTTTATTTTCCCTCAAGAGTTATTGTGCCATATTATGATGGATTCCCTGCTCAGAAACGAGGTATTGGCTCGCTACTAAACCAACTTCACCAACATCCGAGGTACTTCAACCGTTTAACGCGAGCAGAGTCGAATACATTTGAAGACGACCGAATCGACGAAGATGACATCCCAGACGAAGAGCCAGATTTGAGCGATGGTGAGACTCTCGATCATCGGCGAAGAAACATAGGTTATTTGATTAACAAATGGCAACTGTGGCGAAGACCATATTACCGGTACTATACGACAGGTTATTATACGTATCACCCGTTTAAGACCTACAAATACTAAAGTGTGGTTCAACGCTGTGACTTCCACAAGGCAGTGTGCAAACAATTCATTTTTTTTTTTCACCCGTAGAAAATCACGCTGGAAGTGAAATGATATCGGTAACTTTGTATTTTATAAATCCTACTCGAAACACATAACTCTACATTAACTACTGCGACGGAGAAACATGAACAAACATTTTAATGGGGATTTCTGTGCATCAGTTCACTACTGAACTCGGATTCAACACACTGAACTCGAGGCCATCACACTGTACTCGAGGCTACCATATTGAACTCGAGGCAACCTTGATGTCGCTATGACAGCAATACAGCGGGTCGCTTATTTTTTTTAATTTACATATTTTTCTCGACACACTTAATATCAATGTGTATCCACGAAAAACACAAAAACTGAATATTAGATCTGAAGTATATTATTGAATCTAAAGTATATTTTTAATCTGAATCTAACTCATTATAATGGTGTATAAGTGTTCATGTACTGAATTATCCGCTTAAGGAATATTTTTCAACCGCCGTAGACCAGTGCTTTACTAGTATTACGTTGAACACTACTGGTGGTAAGTATGTGGAGGATTTGATTTAAAAGAGCTAACAGACACATGTTTACATGTTTAAGTGCACATTTTTGAAGGCCACAGATTTAGACCACTTCTAAGTGGGAAAGCAATCCCGTGCAGCAAAATAGAAAATATTCACACACACACACACACACACACACACACACACAAAGAAAACCTATACACGGTTTATTTGCTCTAAGGACACATTTCTAACGAAAGTTGACGTAGAGAACGGTGTGACAGAGATGGTGATCCAAGGAATGGAAATGCTTTATGGTTAACACACTGTCAGGTTGGGGTAAGCTGGTACAGGTGGTATCAGGGTCAGTACATGCCACGAATGGCACCTGCACTTATAAAAAATAATGGAAAATGGACGACGGTCCCTAGAAGACTGCCATTTCTGTTACAAAGAAGTACGTAACGTCAAATGGTCGGTTTGCGATGCTTTTATGGAACTGCTTACCCACTGTCCATTGCTGCAGTTGTTCCTGGTGATCACATCTAGCACAATTGCGATCACACCACATCTAATGGAAATAATCCGAGATAGCCCAAGGTCTCACGTACGAATTTTCCATATTTCTTTCTAAGAAGACATTTCTTTCTAAGACCACAGAAAGACCACCTGCGCATAGACTTCATCCAACGCGAATTCTCGCACATCTACATGTATGACGTTACGCAGCGTCCTTGGCTGTCTCGGGGTTTTCATTTTTTAATCACACTATTGTTCTGTTTTCGAAATTAATTCAATATACAGTATGTCAAATGGAAAAATGAAATAGGCAAATAAAAACTGCCATAGAAAGTACTCTATATGGTAGTGTATGAACCGATAGTGTGACTATTGAAAAGATTGATTAGATTCAAGTGTCTAAAAACGAGTGTTCTTTGTAATTATGTATTAGTTTTTACCCTTATTTATTATTAACTAACGTGACAACATACTTTGTTGCTTTCTATCTGATTAATCAATTTAACAATTTATCCGTTTTAGTTTCTGTAAAGCGTAAAAGAATTAATTGGCTAATGTAGTATAGGCTTTATTTGTGGTTTACATCATTTTGGTAGTATTTTGATTTATTTTGATAAATACATCCAATGATAATGGATAAGAAGATAATTCAAAACTCTGCAGTTAATCACGCTAAAACGGAAATTATTGTGACCGAAAGTATACTAGAATATCACAAAAGTGAACAGTGCATTTCAAATTATTATTTTTTTCTTTGCACACACTGAAATATTTGTAAAGCCTACATTGTTTTAAGTCAAAGTCTACTAGTAGTAGTCAACATGAAAACCACATACACGCAGCAGCAACCCATGCATTTATTGTAGAAGCATGCTAGAGGGAATGCCACCTATCCTGAAGGAATATGTTTCTACATGTTAATCACTGGTATCACCTTCATATCTGTTAATTTATTCGGTGTGACGACGCACCACTTTTTTTAATGAGTAGATGTTTTTAACGACAGATGTCGAACAGGACAACGCGGCGTGCAAACATTCTGGGGTCAGAACCACATTAAAATAAACCAGATTAAAATAAACCTCTCTCTCACACACTCTCTCTCTCTCTCTCTCTCTCTGTGTGTGTGTGTGTGTGTGTGTGTGTGTGTGTGTGTTTGTGTGTCGCGCGCGTTTGTGTATCATCTGGAAAGACGACAGTATGACCAGCTTCACAATATTTCACTGTATGACGAATATATATAACCTTGAATATCCGCACAAGGTAATACGATGAACTCATGCGGTACCGGTGACATGCTAACGTGTATTAGGTTGGACAAACGAACGGATACTCTTTTGAGTCGATAAATGAGAGAGTTTAAATTAAACGTAATTGAATTCTGCCCTACTTTTTTCCGACTGGTGCACAATAAATGTAAAATATGACAGGTTTCATCCATGATGTGCCCTAGTTTAGAGCATAAGTACATTAGCATATGAATTCATTAATAATGCAAACGTTATGTTATAAGCTTGTTGCGTTCATGACATTTTAATAATAGAGAGCGCTGAGGAATGAACGCCCAGGTGATAATTCGGATTAAGACACTTTTATCAAATAAGCGTGTAGACCAACGAATTTAAACTGCGGAAGAACTAAGTATTCGATAGTTCGGAAAATCACAGGTGTTATTATATAATTACTAATTTTTTAAAATACATTTTTCAAGAGATATCTTCTCTCGGAAAATCTTTTTCCCATCAAAATTCATTTTAACTGCTGTTATTTGGCCAGTACACTATTTTCAAGCGCACGCAAGTCACTATTATATTGTATTGCATCGGTAATCACTAATATACAATAATAAAAAAGTGAAATTGTAACAAAATAATTTCATTCAGATGGTAGTCAACAAAAAGTCCTTTCTAGATTTTTTTCTTAAACCGCACAAAAAAAAAAAAAAAAGGAATTGACTAAAATTAGGCCAAAAAACCATAGCTCCTTGGTCGAAATGGCTGTCCTACCGTACCTACCGCGACGTTAGAACGACCCGGAGTGACGTTTAAGACGCAGATAACCATTCTAAGTCAGGTGAGTCCGTCCCGGCAGGCGAAACCCACGAGGAGCAGCGCTCGAGACGTGATCTCCTATAGCAGACCACACAGGTAGAACTAACGGGAGGTGGGTGGTAGAGGAGCGATTAGCGGTCTTTCAAACTCACTGAGGTGGTTTTCAACGTAGGTTTTGAAATATGGCTTTCCAAAATCCCAACTATTTTTCTCAGCAAAAAGATAATGAAGCAGGCTATATAAAAATAAAATTCTGATGAATAAAGCTATTGTTTCTGATTTTTTTATTAGCAGATTACTTTAACATATTTCTGCTCTGTCACTGCACATATCTGTATTACTATACTGCTAGATCACGAACTTTCACGAAAACTTTGCCAATATCTTAAACACATAGACCTTTAAAAATACCCGATACAAGTATAAAGAGTATAAAGGCGTCTCTTCACACAGGACTTTTTTTTCACACACAGACCCTTTTATTTTCGACTTTTAGGGAGGCTTTATCAATTAAAATTCTGGTTGGAATTGTCTTTTAGAAATTAAAGAACCGATATTGTCCTTCTTAATTTATCCTCTTCTTTGTCACCACCCCTTCTCTCTCTCTCTCTCTCTCTCTCTCTCTCTCTCTCTCCTCATACGGCCTCTCTCACTCTTCTACTTCTCTCTTCTTCTCTCTCTCTGCGACTCTGACCTAAATCAAATAGACCCCCCTGTCCTTTCTCCTTGGTAATCAAGGTTTATTATGAGCCTTTTCCCTGTCCCCCGAGGCGACACTCTTCGCCCTCCCATGTCGTCGTGCTGAGTAACAGTTAAGCAGTTACGAGCTTCTGCAATGTAAAACAGCCGGTCACATTTGACGAAAACGGCAACATATTTCTCTCTGGAAATTTCTGGCGAGATTTTTTCCGGGTATATATGTTAGTTCCCACATATTTATATTTCCATACATGTGCATTTTTACAGCTTTTGAATTTAGATTTTTGCAAGCAAAAATAACGCTCTGCGTATTCAGTTACTAGAGAAAATATGTAATTACTATTTCAATTAATTTCATTACTGTAAGGAGATTCCGTTTGCTGGTTGATGTAATAGAAAGTACTGTCACAAAACAGTAAAAGAAAGCTGTCAATTTTTGAGACTTTGAAGCATTTCAATCAATTTATTAGAATAGTTATCCGCGGTTTTAAATACAGTGAAATTTATATATGTTTGGTAAAAAGCTATAAAATCGAATTTTATATCACAACACAGGTTACTTTTAAAATTTAAAATATAGTCTGCAAAGGAATGGAGAACTGGGGATTGGCGTCAATGTTGTCGATCATTGCAACCGTTATTTGGGCGTGTATGTCGCAAAAATAATTTGCAATTTTGCATCCCAATTTATCAATTTATTTACCCATATATCTATTTTAAACAATACATTGATCAATATTTTCCCGCTTTTTATATTTTCTTAAAAGCAGTTTAATTTCTTAAAGCAAACCTACGAAGTAGAAGTCGCCTGTTTGAACTAAAGGTTAAAAAACATTCGATAAATAAACACACATGTACTTATTTAACTATTTATTTACAACTGGAAGTTAAAGAACAGTGCATTGCCTTTTTGAATTTTTACAAAATATATAATGTAAAAATATAAAATATAAATTGTTTGCAAAAAAGGGGGGTGGGTGTCGAAGAAGACACCCTCTCTCCTCCCCCTCTCCCCTCCCTAGAACCCCCCTCCCCCCCC